AATAAGTACAACAAATATCACAAATTATCAAAACAAAAACAAAATGTAAAATTATAAACATAAAAATGGAAAATAGAATAAAAAAAAGGAAGAAATAACAAGGAAGAAAAGAGAAAACAAGAGAAGAAAATGGAGGGCTTGAAAAAGAAAATGAAAAGAAGAAGGGAACAAAGGCATAGGAAATTAGAAGAGCAACACAAATATGAGGGGATGAAGAGAAATAACATGCATGGGAGAAAGAAGAGAGGGAAACCAAATAGAAAACGGGGAGGAGAAGAATAGCAGAGAAGAGGTAAACAAGAAAAATGAGGAGAGAAAGCAGCATGCATGGAAATATATAGGCAAAACTATTTTGGACCGTCATCGGTCCAGAATATAATAAGCACAAATTCGGCACCCAAACTAAAAAATTTTGAATAGTCACAAATTTTTGGCGGATTATTATTTCAGACCGTTATTGGTCTGGAAATTGTCAAAATATTTAAAGTTTTCGCATTTGAAATTTTTAGTAGAAACTGGTGACAAACCTATTCAGACCAAAGTTGGTCTGAACAACAAAACCTCAAACAAAAAAACACAGAATTATGAAAATATATATTTAATAAAAAAGCAAATGTAATATTCAGACCATTGTTAGTTCGAATAAGTTTTTTGGACCAATAGTGGTCTAAATAAGTGCAGGATCACATTTTTATTTTTTTATTTTTCCCAAACCGTGGAAGATTCGTTCTACCCATATTCACACAACATGCTTTAAAAGTCATGAATGCAATGAAATCAAGCTTCAAAATTAGCAATAGCAAGCTTACATGTTTTTCGCTTAGGAATGACATGGCATAATCTTAAAAGTAATGCTGTTACCTTTACCCATTTGCGATTTTGCAATGATGTTGCATTTCGCCACCGTGAAGCCATGTTGAAAGACTAACTAATCCTGTCAGGCTTATGAGTGGCTATAGTAGTGAAGTGCATGCATTGGGTTTTCATGGAAACAGAATCAGGACTCTTTTCAGCGGGATTGTCCTTAAATGAAAAGAAGGAAAAAGTCTCACAATAGAAACTTCTAGATCCTGCTACACTTATTCAGATCACTATTGGTCTGAATAAGTTTTCCAGACCAATAGTGGTCTAACTAAGTGCAGCAGAACATTTTATTTTTTTTTTCCCTAAACTGTGCAAGATTCATTCTACCCCCATGCACACAACATGCTCCAAAGTCATGAATACAATGGAATCAGCCATTAAAATTAGCAATACCAAGCTTACATGTTTTTCGCTTAGGAATGGCGTGGCATAATCTTAAAAGTAATGCTATTAACTTTACGGATTTGCAATTTTGCAATGATGTTGCATTTCGCCACCGTGAAGCGATTTTGAGAAACTAACTGATCCTGTCAGACTTATGAGCGACTATAATAGTGAAGTGCATGCATCGGGTTTTGGTGAAAACGGAATCGGGACTCTTTTTGGTGGGATTGTCCTTAAATGAAAAGAAGGAAAAAGTCTCACAGCAGAAACTTCTAGATTTTGCTGCACTTATTCAGACCACTGTTGGTCCGAATAAGTGCATCAGAACATTTTTATTTTTATTTTTTTCCCCAAATTGTGCAAGATTCATTCTACCCCCATGCATGCAACATGCTCCAAAAGTCATGAATACAATGGAATCAACCTTTAAAATTAGCAATACCAACCTTACATGTCTTTCACTTAGGAACTACATGGCATAACCTTAGAAGTAATGTTGTTACCTTTACGCATTTGTAATTTTGCAATCATGTTGCATTTCCCCACCATGAATCCATTTCAAGAGACTAACTGATCATGTCGGGCTTAGGAGTGACTATAGTAGTGAAGTGTATGCATCGGGGTTTTGGTGGAAACGGAATCGGGACTTGTTTCGATGGGATTGTCCTCAAATGAAAAGAATGAAAAAGTCTCACATTTGAAACTTTTAGATTCTGCTACACTTTTTTCTACCATTGTTGGTCCAAATAATTTTTTCGGACCAACAATGGTCCGAAAAAGTGCAGGAGAACATTTTTTTTATAATTTTTTATTTTCCCAAACCATGCAAGATTCGTTTTACCTCTGTTCATGTAATGTGCTCTAAAAGTCTTCAATGCCATACAATTTCACTGCTAAATGAATGATGTTACGTGTATATGTTTGTAGTTTTGGTAGAAACGGACTTGGAGATTTAGATTGTGGTATTGTCCTTAAACGAAAAACTAAAAAATTGTGTGACTAGATTATTTAAATTTTATTCAAACCACTTGCGGTCTGAATAACATAATTCGAACAGTTTGCAATCCATAAATACTGTCCATTTCAGCTGGTAGGTTGTTGCCCCTTATACCGAAAATATATATATATATATCTGCTTAAGTATAAATGGGATGTGGTTATGGTCATGTCTAAACTAAGCTTTTTTTTTCAAATTATTATTGCTATTATTATTGATATTAAATATAATTATTATTACATATATTAAAGTTTCTTCCTAGTAAGGCATGCTAGAAAGGGAAGAAACAATAAACACCCCAATATTCTCCACAAAAACAAGAACATTGAACAGGAGAACAATGAGATATTGATGGAAAGTTGACAACAATATTATCAAAAAAAAAAGTTTAACCACAGTGCCTTCAATCCAAAATGCAAAGCATCCAGAGTCATAATTTTTTTTTTTTGGCATTTTTCAGACCATTATTGGTCTTAAATTTAAAAAAAAAAAAAAAAAAAAAAACACTGCAGCGCCTTCAATTTTTTTTCTTTTTTTTGTTGAAAATTTTCAGACCTTAGGTAGTCTCAAATAGTTTCGCGGCTTTTACTGTTTTTCCGCCAACATTTTCAGACCACATAGGGTTTGAATATTCAAAATTCAAAGTGAGTTCAATACTCATAAATATTCAGGCCAATTGCGGTCTGAAAAAATATTTTTTCAGAGCTTTATATATTGGTCTGAATTATTTCGGTTTGAATTTTGATAATTTTTAGTAGTGCTTCTATATTATTCACAAAATAAAGTAGAAATTTTTAAATAATTAAATGAAAAATACTTCACCTTAAGGCATGAAGCCGCATTTTGGATTCCAGCTTATGCAGTTCCTCCTATGAATTTGGCATCCGTTGATTGAATCCCAAATGGATGGTCTTCAAACCAGGCTTCCTAATCAACACCGCCGTCTCATTGCTGGAACCTCCAGCCTCTGCTTTGCTCAATATGCCTTGGGAGTCATCTGTTGTGATGGCTTATCATGCTGATCGTCACTCGCCCATTGCCGAAGAGGAGAATACGAGCTTGTTCGGCCAAAGATTTGGTTCTTGTGAGCAGCGAAAGGGTGGGGAGGAGAAATTATCCACTATTAAGCTGGGAGAGTTGAAGTACATGATCTAAATTTGAAATACATAGGGTTGGAATGGGAAGAGAATTTGAAATACATGAATTTTAAAGTAATAAAATACACCAACTTAATTATATGTATTTGAGTTAAATCAATTACACCCTTATTTTGTGAAAACAAACTGTGATAGTCAAATTCAAATGCACTCTCTAAAAATCACGTTACGAAACATACCAAAAGTGTATTTTAAAGGACTAATAACCTCAAAGACAAATAATTAGATTTTCTTTTTTTTTTTTTGGTTGGAGGGAGGTTCGGTGTTAAGCCCACTTTGCGCTAGGTGTTAAGCCCACTTTGTGCTAGGTCTGTTATACATCGTTAATATATATGTTTGGTTCATCTGTAAATATATTGGAGTGTGAAGGCAAAATAGGGACTTTGGTTAACTTTTATTAATCAAGCTGAGAAGCATTCCACGAAAGCACTGATTTTGGTCCTTCTCAGATTTCAAAAGACAGATGCTAAATCAGCTTCTCAAACAAGTCTAAGTGTTTGGGACAACCAGTGCTTTCGGGTAAAAAAAGACCTCTTCTGCCATTGCACCAAACACGCAAAATTGTTGCCATCACTGTATGAATTTGCATTTACTGGGTTCTGCCATCATAGCTACTCAAATGTATGAACATGTAACAGTGGTATTAGTACCCCTTGAAACTTAATTTATTTGCCGATTAAAAATATTAGCTAAAGGAGTATCTTATAGTTGGAATGAAGAAATAAAACCAATTCTTAGGAGAAATGTTAGAAGAAGAATACAAGACTACTTATATTGAACTGGCTTGCATAAATAACTCAAACGCAAGACGATTTATTTATAGTTGAACTAGTTTCCTCATACATTGTACTTAATGAACCCACTTAGTGAGTCCACATACATTCTATGAATTAGGAGATACAATGAACAATGTGGTACACGAACTCGAATAAACATGAGCTTGCAACACTTATAAGCAAAATTCTCAGTTCAACTTATGTGACCAAAGGTTGTCAACATCTTTTCTCTTCGAACACTTTCCATCAATAAGTTGAATTAAAAATCTCAACAAGAAGCGAAGATTGTAGAAATGGAAAGAAGATAACTGGAATGCTAGCTAGCATAACCATGGCAATGATTATCCACAGTTTGACCTTGAAGCATAATAACAACAGCGGCTGAGAAGGCTACCATCATTACTGCAATTGATATAAAAAGGGTAGAAAGCCCGATGATCAACCTCCTCGGTAAGGACAAGAGACGGTGAGGACACGAGAAAATCTTTTTAGGCATAACGAGAGGTGAGTATTCCTAGAAACATCAAAACCGAAGTGGATGCAGCAGAGAGAGAAACAGCATCTGATATGATGAATATCTTAAATAAAGTTTCTTGTAAGAATATGGGAAAACCAGTATCTTGATTGTTACCACCAGGAATGGTAAAAGCTGCAGCAAACATCACGGTAATGATAAGGGCGCCTACAACCGTATAAGAGCTTGCTGTCTGTTTCATCCAATCCTCTGCTCTTCTTTGCAAATCCTTGTGTTCCTCAGAGAACACTTCACCAGGAGTTCTCCTGAAGTCATTTTTGCATTCTTTAAAATACGGTGGAACAATGCTTTCCACCTCCTACAAATATAAACTTACTAAGGTTAAATAAGAATTTTTTTATCAGCATTTAATAAGAAAGTAATAATTGAGCATTAACTGTTTATATGTGTGGAGAGAGAATAGTGACTATTGAAAGATGATTACTTACCTTAAACCACTGTAGTTCTCGTTGCATTTGCAGTGCTGCTCCAGAGATGTGAGAAAGCTGAGAATCAGGAGCTAACTTACCTGCCACGTGTAACAGATTGTTTCTATCCTTATCTAAGTTAACTGTTGCTTCTCGCCGTTTGTCTAGTCTATATATAAAGCTAGCAATCTTTTCTTGACGATATGCAATTGCACACATCAATATATCTCTTGAAGTTCTTTCTTCACGCATCCAAATTATATCTGGATTATTTTCGATAATTTCAATTACAAACTCAACAATCCCATTCTTGATTGCATTGAACGTCACTTTGACTGCTCCATTTTTCACAATTTCACTGTGCTCTAATTAAAGTTGATAGTTTCGATGCATACTATGAAGAGTCTCATAGGCATAGGCATGGGACAACTTTAGCTCATAAATATGCTTTCCCACTCATAAAAAACAAGTTATATAATAAAGAAAATAAGGAGGTAATTGAATCAAAGTGTTACAAGATAAATAAAAATGTCATTTAAATGAAGTTGGTTATCACTTACTAGGGATTGGCAGGAGAATCAAACATCTCCTAATTTTTTAGATTGTAGTTTTCAATGTTGCAATATAGATTCAACCAAGTCAACTCCATGTGAGTATCTCGTGGAAAGACATATAGAAATGTTTATTTGAATGACAAACCCTGGTAATCAAATCAAAGAGCTACAGGGTGGGTGGGATAATGTTTGGGGGGCAATTACTCAGTTGGTGCAAGGGCTGAAGTATTTCTTGTGCTCCCTTTAATAACAGTAGTTTCTTTGCATTTCAAAACAATAAAAAGAAAAATATTTATTTGAATGAAAGGTTATCACTTACCACGAGTTAGCAGGAAAATCAAACTTTTCATTTTGCGGGATGGAGCTCCAATACTTCCCATGCTGTTGCAATATGGATTCAACCAAGTCAACTCTATGTAAGTATCTCATGGAAAGAAATTATTTTAAAAAAACTAATTACCAGGGTTCACTGTTCAGTAGAGTGCAGAGACAACATTATATACTTCTCAAAAAATTAAGTGATTACATTAGAATGGATAACCATAAGTAAACTTTGGTTTAATATCCTCCATCACATATTTATTAAAAAATTATTATTTTTAAATTTAAAATCAAGGTGGAAAAACTTTTAATTGTAGATTTTAATGATTAAACTAATGAATATTGAAAACTATGATGAATTGGAGGTTATACAAATTACTTTTCCACTAGAATACACAACTTTAATTATTGAATTAGAACAAAGTTCTTAATATGAGAAACTGTTTTCCTATTTAATAGATCTTACTTTGTAGTTTACAAAATAGAATTCTCATTATTTATTATCTTACTTTTTTTTTTCAATAAATCACTTATTTTAATGTTACATTAAAAGTATATTCAATTTGATAAAAATAGAGTTAATGAAAAAGAAAAAAAAAATTGTCCAAATCAAGACCTCATTGAACGAAAATTTTTTTACTCTATTTTCCTTCCAGCCATTTCTCTGGAACCAAAGAGCATTAAAGATTCTTAAAATTACTTTGGTTTGGCCAACATAACATTGCGTATGATGGAATTTACCTTGTCTTCCAAAACTGTTGCCGAATTCAATGGAGGCTTCTTCTAATGAACCTTAATAACAACAATCAATCAATCAACGAGATCAAATTAAAAAAAAATGAAAAAAAAAAATGAAAACTCAACTCGATCCACGTAGGTTTCTAATGAATAAAGTTATTACTAGTAATTCATTAACTAACAAGGGTAAGAAGAAAGTCTAGAGATAGCATTATGCATTCTTCTATTATCTTAATTACTTACATTGTTCTACGCTCACTGACAACGGCACCCCTATACCTTAACAACAATAATAAACAAATCAATCAACGAGATCATATCAGGAAAGAAAGAAAGGAATAAAAGTAGGGAAGATATGCTAATCATAAGCCAGGATGAGGACATTTAATCACAGGGAACAAAAAGAAAATGACGGACACCTTTTACTCTTTTAGCGATTTCTTCTTCATTGTTATTTATGTTTAGGAAAAAGTGTTTTGGAGTACAAATTGTATAATACTTTTTTTTTTTTTTTTGCAAAGCAAAAGGATAATTCTTTATTTATTTATGGGGTACAAGGGGTACCCCAACCCATTACAAGGATCAAATTTAATCCAAACCTGATCCCTCCAAAACTTCAATTGCCTTCAAACAGGGGATTTCAATGTGTTAGCTGCTTGTCCCTTACCTTTCCTCTTACTGGCACAATTAAATTTTATGCAACCCACCGGGTAGTGAATCCAATCTGACAGGGAAAAATAGCAGCCTCCCCTTTTACCTTTGATCCAGTTGAATGCCCTTAGCTGTACCATCTCTAGTAGCTTTCTCCTATCAACCTCTTTCTGTTTAAAAATCTTCTCGTTCCTGGCAAGCCAAATTGTCCATATCACCGTGAACCAGATGCACTCCCATCCAACCTTTTTTGTAGTCATTTTAGCTGCATTCGGGTGCTGTTCAAATACCTTCCTATAGTCTTTGTCTTGTACTGTTATAATGCCCCACCATTTAAAACAGTCAATCCACAAATCTGAAGCTATTTTACAGTGTATAAAGAGATGATTGGAATCCTCATTCTCCACTCCGCAGAAAACACACTTGCACTCCTCAAGATTTTTTAATATTCCCCTTTTAAAGAGATTGCTCTTTGTTGGGATCTTGTTTTGCAGTAGTTGCCATGTGAAAATTGATATCTTGGTGGGAATAAGCGAATTCTAGACCTTTTGTGTCACCCTTTCCAGTTGTTCCGATCCATTTCCATCTGACAATGCCTTATATGCAAATTTTGTAGTGTGTCTCCCATCTTTATTATGTATCCATTCCCACAAATCTGTTTTTCCTCTCTCAATTGTGATGTCTTGGATTTGATTCAGCAATTTTGCTTCCTGCGGCTTTTCCCAACTGCACAAGTTCCTTCTCCATTGTATATTCCATTTCTAGATGCCATTGATCCACTTTCCCATTTGATGAATCTTTTTGTTCTTTCTTGTCGAAATTAAGTGAAGTCTTGGAAATTTGTTAGCAAGACTCCTATTGCCACACCAACTATCCCACCAGAAACTTACTTCTACTCCTTCTCCTACCTTTAGTTTTAACCCGTCCTCCAACCATCCCCTATTCTCTTCTACTATTACATTCAATCTACATAAATCCCTCCACCATCGAGAGCCTAGACCCGTATTCTCCCTCAACCAATTGTAGCTGGGATCCCCCTCCCTCCCATATTTCTCATAAATGACTTTTTTCCATAACCCACTATCTTCAGACACCAGTCGTCCCCACCACTTACCTAACAAAGCCATATTAAACTTCCTCAGGTCTTTCACCCTTAAACCACCTTTCTCTTTTCCTTTATTTTTCTCTTTTATTTCGATCAGCAAACTAACATTTTGGTTCTAGTCGTAAGAAGTCCCTGATGTTCTTCTAAACCCATTATTTATGGATCTTTATGCAGAAATGTACACCCATTTCTAAGACAATTGTCTAACCAGGGTGCATCTCATGATTTATTTAACTGGTATTCTTTCATCGACTCGCAATTGAGTTCCACACTTGGAAGTAGTGAGAGTCATCGGGAATTCTTTTTCTCACTTTGAGCAAAGTAAGTGGCACGCCTTTGCAATCTTATTTACCACACAGTCGGAAAGAAAGATTTTGGAGACAACACAAGCTATTAACAATATTTTGCGGACCAATACCAATTGCAGCATGAAGAGCAGTATAACCGTTTGAGAGACTAAAATGGTACTTAAACCTAAAACTTATTATTAAATAGGTGAATCCTTAATATTAAGGACCATTTTCTACCTAATAATCTTTATTT